GAAACTTTTCCTTCTTATCGTATTACCGTTTTGCAAAATTGCCTTCCTCCTTTTCGTATTTGATGTGGCGTTTTATCGAACCCATTCGAAGCTTTTCCTGTGTCTATCATTTTAACATCTTATTTACTTCGATCCATTTAACGTGTGATGCGGTTATAATCTTTGAACGGAGTTGGAGCTGTTCTCTATGATGAAAACGAAACTTTTTTATTATCAAGGGATAATAAATTTTAGAAATAAATCTCGATAAAATATAAGTACAATTTTTTGAATTTTCATCGAATTTCGGAATCTTCGAAAAATGACTCGTCAAAGATCGAATGTTTCGTTCGTTAAAAATTGTGACAGCAAAAATTGCAGCGATCGATTTGATTGGAATCGGTCGAAGGCAGCAAGGTTTAGCTTCTGGTAAATGGTGGACGCATCGGGGTGTGCCAAGGATACTCCAAGACATTTTCTTCCCAACGACTCGTGTGGAGTTCTCACACGATTGTATTGAAATGCCGCTCGTAAACAATGAGTTGCGTAATCGTATCCAATTGACGGAGCCGCGACACGAGGAGAGCAAAGAAGAGGAAGCAATGAAGGAGAACCTTTGGATCTCTCGACTCGAGCAAATATGTAATCTAGATAAGATAAAATATTGATATACACGTTGGATATGGAAAAATCCTCTTCGCAAAATTTTCATCGATCAATATAATTCGAAACGATTGGAAAAATGAGAAACGAGAATTTTCTTTCAATGTGATATAAAATTTTCTGTGAAAAGTGATTCTTCGGCAACGAAGTTCGCAAGATTATTACGCTTGTTAGGTTAGGTTAGGTTAACCGTCGAATGGAAACTTTTGGGCGCCATTGTATACTAACTTCCGGTAAATTACCGGTCCTTCACGCATGATATCCTTCCCCTTATGCATGCCATGAATATGCGTTGAATATTGCATGAATATCGATCGCTTTATATACCAATTATTAATTATTGATTGAATATTGATTTCATTTAGAAACAGTAAATTCAAGAATAATTTCGCCAAGTATTTATATTTATATTTAGAAAACAAGACGGAAAATTCTCTGCAAATTGTAAGATTGATCCACGACGCATACAAATTCCACGAATAAAAATCACTACTTTCAAGCACTGACTGCTATAAGAATCGAGTCTAGTCGCGCCTTGTCCCGAATCGAAGAAAAAGAAACGGGAGGAAAAGTTTTCAAGGAAGCGTGGATATCGTCCCAGAAATCGTTCCAAAGCCGGAAATTGGCCGCGAAAAGCGGTTACGATCGAGCCGTGGGAGCGCACGATGTTTTTTCCCTGCCATTTCGAATTCGCCCGCCATGCATTAAACGCGACGAACGTTGTTCGAACAACGCGTGACGGAGCATTGGCTGCCGCCTCTCGCATCGGAATTACGGTCACGAGCCAACCTTTCACGGTTTCACGGCTGTTAGAATCGTAACGGACGAGTTCTGGGCCTCTTCCAGCTTCGAGACGATCGAGAGACTCCCCTTTGGAATCGGAAGAAGGGAAACAACGCATGTAACTGCTTTCACTTCTCTTCGTTGCGCGACAAATAATAGAACGGGGGGGGGGGAATATTAATTTAATTTGATCGAATTTAATCTGCGAAAATATTTAGAAATAAATATCGTCGTTCGGAGATATCGTTGGATGAATATTTTCACTCGAATCGATAGAGCGAAGGCTGTCAGATTTGAATTTACCGCGCTTTCTGGAAATCTAACCTTATCGTGTGTTATATTCGCGTGTAGATTGTTTATTCGAAGAATAAAATAAAATAAAATAAATAAAATTTGAAATAATTGAACCGTTTTGATTGCAGATTCTTGATTCTTTTATTGTTAAAAAATTGTTGAAACCGATCCTGCAAATAATTAGCTTATGAAATTTCATCTTTTAATTGAGATTATACGTGTCTTTTCGTTCATACATGTTTAATTGAATAGTCGACATTTTGTTTTCTAAAATACAATTAACACTAACATAATAAGAAATATAAATTCGAAATGTAAATTTGAAAGTTTAGAAATTCAAGAAAAAGACACGCGCGCACACACATACATAAAAAAAACGAAGGAACAACTCGATTTATTCAACTTAAAAAAAAAAATTGAACGATCCGACTACTTTATTTTAATTGAGTTTTAATTACTTTTTTTAAAATGCCAAAAATTAACGACACCTCCTTTATTTGTTTAATCTTAACTATCGAATAATGGATTTTCGAAAGTTTAGATCCCATTTTTAAAAAACTAAGATTAGAGAATCTTGATGTATTGAATGGACCTTCTTCCCAAGAGTGAAGAAACGCGTGCTTGTCGCGATGTTTATGATTACAAAAGGCGTTAAAAGAATGCCTTTTCGGATTCGTCGTTCATAGAATGGCACTCAGTAACACGTACTCCACTTTAATGACCCTTTCACGCAGCCCGACCATGGACATTATCTTCTACTTTAACTCCATTTTAAAAGAAAAAAAGAAAGAGAAATCGAATCTTTGAAGAATTATGAATCTAATGGATCTCGAACGTTTGGCAACCGCGACTGTGTTACCCAATAAATAAAATGTAAGTATTCATTTTCATCAAATCCACGTTTCCCCCCCTTTTTTTTCTTTTCTTTTCAAGGATACAGTTGTGAAAAAAACTAGAACTTTATGTAAGCGTCGTTTGCTTAGAAATTCGAATAAATTGTGTAAGAAACATATCTACTTATTCTTTATTATTATTATTATTATTATTATTTTTGGTGGTGAAATTGTTGAACGAATATCTTCTTTTGTCAGGAGAGAATATAATTTAAAATGTAATTCAGAGATTTGCAGAATTTTGAAATCAATCGAATCGAGGCTCGAAGATTTAAAGTTTAAAAAATTTTGAGCTCTAACGTAATTAAAATTCTTATTCAATCGAAAAACGTTCAAAATTCAAATACGTGGGGAAACTCGAACGAAACTTTCCTTCCAAATTTTTGCATGCGAAACACAAAGAGGCGAGAATTAAATTTTAATAAAATTTAAAATCACGTTTGGAAAAAATCCCGCTCAAGAATTTAAATTAAAATTAAAATTCGAGATTTAATCATTAGAAAAATTAAAATTCCAGATTTTTCCACGGACGGGCAAATTTACGTTCGTTAAAATTGTTCCATAATTCGGTCAGAGGTTTCCACATCCTCGCCGTATCCTCTCATTGTCACAGGCCGAGCTCCTTCCTTTTTTTTTCGAATTGTCCATGACTCATCCGAAATATTTGAATTAATTCAAAATGGACGCAAGGGTGGAATCTTTATGCCAATTTCACGAGAAGGATGCTAACGAGATTGATCCTAATCTTCGTAAAACCACCGAAATTTTTTTATCTTAATTCGCGAATCGCGACACGGTGAATGCCAACGTTTTTACTCGCATTTTGAATCGCAATGCGACTTGTTTCGTTAGTTTCGAAACGAGATAATCGTAAAGAATCGTGCTGGTGTTTCAAACTTTATCAAATTTATCAAATATTTTTCCAATATTATATACATACATTCGCAATACAAAAATGATATAATCTTGTAAATTAAGTTAATTTAACTTCTCATCCATTTTTTTGAATATAATAATTTATTACTTTTCAATTATTCCTTTCTTTTTTTTAATCCCAAGCAAGAACACTGAAGGTAATAAAGAAATGATAATAACATCATCTCTACGCATAGACGCCTGAAAATTTGACGGATCTTCCTTTTAAGAAAAAAGAAAGCAAGAAGGGATTAACGTAATCGGTTTATTCTTCGAGCAACGTTACGAAAATCCCGTTTGGATGCCATTATTCGGCGAATACATAGAGAAACCACCAATAAAACTCTTTTCCTCATAACATTCACCGAGCGAGTAGTCGTGAGCGCTCGTAAAAAAAAAAAAAAAAAGAAAAGAAGAAGAAAGAAAAAAGAAAAAGGACAGAAGGAAATTTCTCTTTTTTCTCGATAGCTGGAAACGTCGATGCCGATGCTTTTCCCCGCATCCTTCGCTCTTGACCGACATTTACGATGGCAATAAACGAGCGAAATCGCCGCTTTGCATAACGCCGAACACACGATTTCCGCGATTACGGACCCGTGCCGCTTAATGGGCAAGCGCTATTCGTTCGGGTAGACAAACGAGCTCCGCGTTGGATACTCTCTCGTTGCATCACTCGTGACCTCGCCAAGGATCGCCGCCTTCTCCGCGGGGGAGAAGAATACGTGCTCGCCTCGAGATTTTTAGAATTTCTGAAAAATTTCTTCAAATTTCCACGCGCGATGGAAAGACCGATCCTTGGATAGTACATTTCCAGGTGTGCGATTTTTTTTTTTCACAGTGATCCGATTGAGCAAAGCGTTCGCACTTGGAGGAGGCAAAATTGCGTAAAGTTCGCACACGAGCGAGTGGAACACGGGATAAAGGATGATTAGCGAATTATTTAGAGTGTTTTGCCACAATATACCCGCTTCTTCTCCATTATCTGGCAGCCACCTTTGTTAATATATTGCGACACGTAGTGGAAGAGGCCACGCCTGCCTCGCTCCTTCTCTTGTTGCCAAACTAATCTCCTCCACCGTGGAATTTCCGTATCTGGTATCAAACATCGATCGAGAATTGGAAAGGTCTAAATTTCTATCTTTAAAAATATCAAACCGTTTAAATCAGCAAGTTCTTCGAGAACGATCGAGATGTTCCCTTCGACAATTACGAGTCGAAATCATGGATATCCCTCGAAGTGGTCGAGCGGAAGTGGCCGCCGCAACGAGACCAGCAGCCTGCGCGTCGTCCTTTCGCCGGCACGTGGACGCAGCGACGCGTTCCTCTCTTCACCGCGGAGGAAACGAGGGTGGGGGCGGTGGGTGGGGGAGTGGGAGGAGGACGAGGGCTTTTGCCCGGAACGAGAGACTCGATGCCACGGGTGGGAGATGGATATAAGGGCATCGTCTTGGAATAACGGATATCAGTGAGTATCGCGCTGTTTTCGCATACGACACACACACACGCACACACACATACACGCGCATACGCACACACGTACGTGCAGCGACGAGCAACATGTCGAAGGTACGAACGCCGGGGACCGGAAATCAAGCCAAATCTCTGTGCGCGCATTATTTTCCTCTTCGTATTTTGGTGCTTTCGTATCTCACTTTCTCTGTCCCTGTATTTCTATCGGAATAAATTTTTCGATTGGTAGGTTCGATTGGTTGTTAACCGGATGGTTTAAATGGTAAAAATGGTACAAGTAGTGCGAGTTTCTTTTGTATTTGGTAGCAAAGTCGAGAATTTTTTGTTCAATTGGATTATAAAAAGATTATAAAAATAAGATTTGGTTGAGGGGGTTATGTTGTTATGTAGGTAATTGCGGCTTGATTTGTGATGATTCTCTCTCGAATATCGTTAAATCGTTTCGAAGATTGTTTTGAAAAGAAATTTCAAATTCCAAGCATCAGTTTGAAATTCAAATTTTTAATTTCCATTCAAGAATCTCTTCAATGTTTTTCGATATTTATTGAAATTTTTTTCAAATTTAATTCTCAATCTTTTTTTTCACGCGTCAAAAAATTACATTTTTCGAAGAATGAAGAAGAAACGAGTGGTACTTTCGCGCGAAGAAGAATACGAGTGTTTTCATGGAACGATGACCTCGAGTATGATCTATCTTGGTGCGCGGTACCAAGAGGCATCAACTTCTTCTTTTGCCACAGACAGGCGATACGTTCGTTTTTGCGGTCTGTGATCCACGCGGAAGTAAAAACGTTTCCCACTTCCGTAGATTCGTATTAATTTACGGAGCAAGGTCGACGCCGCGAAAGTGAAAAAGGACACTTTTCTTGGGGAGAGAAGAGCCCGTGAAGCGACACGAAAGATGAAACACGAGACACTTTCACGCGATGACTTTCCAAGTTTCCCGTACGACCAACTTACACCCATCGAAAAACTGTTCGATCACTTTTCAGATTTTTGTTTTTCGAAGGCAAATTGAATCGTTCCACGATTATTATTATCCCAGCCGGGGGATAATAATGATTAAACCTTTGAACGTATTTATTGATTCGATTAATTGTGTTTTTGAATTAAATTATTACATCGGATTGACAAAATTGGTTTCTGTTCTGAAATAATAATAAGATTTTAATCTAATAATTCTAAATTAAATATCGAAATGTTTTAATTGCACTTTGATTTAATTTATTTCTCAAATTGATTACATTTATCGTCAAAGTTTCTCTCGATGATTGAATACTTAATTTCGTGATTTTGAAATTTTTTTCTTTTTTTTGATTCACACTGTAAAGTTTTTTAGAGTTGGTCTTGATTTTTTTCAGGGTTGGAATTCGATTGGAATTCGATATTGTTAATTTTGGAAATGTGGTTATTCGAATAATTGATACGATAGGGAGAGTTGGATTGGGATTGATTTAGAATTTGATTTCTATTTTAGAAATTTGAAGGAATTTCGTGTGGATTTCATTCGTTTGTGTTCCATTAACTTTTTCAATCAAAAAAAAGGAAAAGGACTTAAACTTAGATAACTCGATACCAAGTTTTTTATATGGCAAATTTTAACAAGATTGAACAAAATACGAGTTTCGTAAAAACGACATTATATATCTGAACTTTTAATTCAATTTTCTTCCACTTTAATTAATTTATTAATTAAACTTTAACACTGCTCTGCAAATTTTTTCCAAAACATTAATATTTTATAATATTTTCAACTTATCCTAACTGACTATCTTCGGAATCGATTCGGAATTTATCGTAGATCACATATTCGAGATTATCGAAAAACTGATTTATTATTGTTCAACGACGTAGCTCGAGAAACGACCCAATAACGATTCAAATACATCATCATTTCCACAACGATCCTCATTGCAAAAGTGGCGCTTACATTGTTCCCCATAATACTCCTCGTTCAACGAGCTCTCTGATACATTCACCGTTCGTGGGAAGAATTTCGAAACGAAACGTCCGGCCGTACATCGATTTCCAAGCAATTTTTCCAATTTTTCGAAAATTTGAAAAAGAACCTCGAAAGCGGATCTGTCTGAGAATTCAATTCAAATTTCATTCCTCACAAATTTCAGAATTTTCGAAATTGTTATAAATGGATCTAACTAATTAACAAACAATCAATAATTAATCAAAATTAATCAACAGTTTCAGAGCCTGTTATGCCTGTTATGCGCGACGATCGCATCGAGTCGCGCAGTGGTGTTAAGCGGGTATAACGGGGGGCACGGGATCTCTTACACGGATTACGAGGGCCTCGAAGGATACTCCTCTCAGTACGAAGGACACGCCGTGTTGCCGACGGTGGCGGTTCCGGTTCACGCGGTTTCCGCCTCGCCCGTTCACGTTACGCCCACTCTTGATCATCACGGATACGATCATCACGCGGATCACGGCCACGATTACTACGTAAGCACGCTACAATTACATTGCTCACCTATCTGTCCTCTCATTTTTCTAATTACCGTTTTATAATTATTTATAAATTCATCTACTTGGAGTAATTTTCATTTTTAATTTTTATCCAATTTCTTCCATTTCATTTTTCCTATTACATTGATTTGTAATTTTTAGAATTATTCTTTTTTTTTATTCTTCATTCTTCCCTTTTGATAAGAGAAAGAAACGATTGGCAATCTATGATGAATTTTTATTTTTATCGGAAAATAAATTATAGAAAACGTGATATTAAATCAATTAATTATCGATCGATCGAAACACGAATTTCTTGATCTTATCATCGATAAAGTGATATGTGACAAAATGAAAATAGATATTTATCGCGAAAGAAATTTTAATCGTTCTTCGTATCAAGCTGCTTATTGTCGGAGTTAATTAAAAATATCTTTATACGTACGATATTCTTTGTCCGATAACGCTCATGAATTATTTATCTCTCCGGAATTTTTTTCTCACATTATCAAGAAATATCGAACCCGTATAAATTTACAGTAAATTATATTTAAGATTTTTCACTTTCTTTTGAAAACTTTATATTTCTAAAAAAAAAAAAAAAATTCCACGTCTAAACGAACTTCGAAGCGAATGTTTCGTTTTCGAAAGGAAAAAAAAAAGAAAAAGTTACATAAAACTATCCTCTCGTGATCGAGTTGAAACAAAAAAGAATGCATTAACATTGACAAACGTCATTCACGAGATAAGAACATTAAATTATCGACGATTTGCATTTGGAATCGCGTGTCGCATAGTAAATATTTGACAAGGTGTGACGCTTTATATTAATTGAAATTCTCGGGTGTGGAAACCGTGTGCTTGGCATACGAACACCTTCCGTATCTCCTCCCATTGTCACCACTGTTTCCGTCATACTTTCTCGGAGATCTGAACTCGCATGGAAAATTCGTTACGAAATTTTTACTCGAAACATGCTCGCCCAATATTTCTTTAATCTTTCTATTCCTATCTATCTATTCTATACACGTAAAATACACAGGCAACAAGCAGAGAAATGTTAATGTTAAAGAATGAAAGTAAATTATTAAATAATTGAATTTAAAATAACCTATCTCTTATCTATCACCTATTCAAAAAATTCTACTTTCCACAAAATATTTGAACAGATATATTTATACAAAGAATTTATAGAAATTTTCGACTCTTAGTTTCAGGCCCATCCGAAATACTACTCTCAAAAAATTCTACTCTCCACAAAATATTTGAACAGATATATTTATACAAAGAATTTATAGAAATTTTCGACTCTTAATTCAGGCCCATCCGAAATACACGTTCAATTATGGCGTCCACGATCCTCACACAGGGGACGTGAAGACCCAGCACGAGGTTCGCGACGGGGACGTGGTGCACGGGTCGTACAGCGTCAACGAGCCCGACGGAAGCGTGAGAATCGTCGAGTACACGGCGGACGACCACAACGGTTTCAACGCGGTTGTTAAAAAAGTTGGCCCGGCCATTCACCCGAAACCCATCCCCGTGGCCAAGTACATCTCATCCCCTGCGTACTACAACAGTTACGAGGAATACGAGAAGCATCACTACTAACTTCTGTTGCTGTTTCAAGAGGGATGGGCAAGGCGTGGAAACAGGGTCGGAAAATTTATTTAAGCGGAGATAAATAATCCTTTTGTCTTATGACGAGCTTACGAATTGAAATTGAAATTAATCAAACTTATTTAATCGTGGACATTTTTAAATGAAGAATTTCAAAGGAGATTGAAAATTTTTATAAGAAGAAACTTAAGATTTTCGAGTCTCGTTTTGAAATTTGGAAGTAAAATTGGAAGATAATTTAAAAAAGGAGAAAGAGAGAGAGAGAGAGAGAAATGATGGAATATCACAAGGGATTGATACGTCGATTCCGATTCAAGAATCATCCAATGAAATGTGGGTGTTGGATTAATTTTAAACTCACGCGAGATCATTTTATACGTGTATTTATCTATATTGATGAAATTTTTCCATTCTTTTTTTTTTGTAAACACATTTTATTTAATTAAATAGGTGCTTCGAAATAGACGGTAAAAAAATGAGGAGGAACAGCAAATCGTTAAGTATTTAAAATTTCACTCGTGCTTCGAACTATCCTTCGAATTATCGAAATATGCAAACGAGTTGAATTGGCAAAAGTGGTTATTCTTTTGGTATTGGGAATATAAATAGAATTAAAATTATTTAAAATATTGTTTTAAAATTATGAAATATAAAATGAGGATGTTGTTCAGACATTGTGAAATATGCATAGGGTAAATGACACAATAATAATAATAATAATAATAATAGAATCAGCAACACCTCAGGTGCAATTATAAAATATAACATTGTTTCATTTCACAATTTCTTCGATTCGTTTTTTGAAAAGATTAAAAAAAAAAAATAAATAAATAAAATTGAAATTGTCAGAAATGTCAGAGAGAAAATTAAGCACGATCATTCGATTGAAGATTTGATTGTTAGAAGAATTGTAGTTAATTACACTTGGTTTAATGGTTGTTAGAAGAGTTAGACATCGAAATTTGTAATTTTCAAGAATTTTGTAATTGTAGATTTAGAAGAAAGAAGAAGACGAAGAAATAAATAGAAATCGTTTATAATCTCTTCAAATATTATTGTAATTATCGCAAATATTTAAGTTTCATAAAACTGTGCCACATCTATATGGGAGTATCGTGTGTCTCAATGTATAATATTAATAATGTTGGAAATTTTTTAATTTTTAGGAAACATATATTTGAAATATATATATATATTTATATATCTTTGAATTATTATTTATAAACAAATACGAACAATCAAACTTTTGAATTTTTAAACAGAAGATGTTAAGATTAAAAATCATGAAAGCTAAAAAATTTCAAAATTAAGAAATTCCACAATTTTTTTTTACCTTTATGATAAAAATTTCCAATCTAATGATTGTTAAACTTTTCGAACGAATAATTTCATACTATATAACAATCTCATTTTCACTTTTGTTCGTGAAATATACGTAACGACGAATCACTACACACGTGTAAATAAGGATCAAAAAATTTATGTAATCAATAAAATCGTACCAATATTATCAAGTCTTTCTTCTTTCGATAAAAAATAAAATAAAATAAAACTCTCCTCTAATTTGAACCAAAAATTTTACAACTAATTAAGAAAAGATGAGAGATAAAGAAGAAGAAGATGTATTTCGAGGAAGAAAGATTACAATGGTTCGTTAATGTTAATCAAGTATCTTAATGAAATGAATTAAACGTCTCTTTGAGTCTCGTTTCCCATTTTGTGCGGATAATCGACCGATTAAAACGAAAGGAAGATGAACACTCTTGAGAATTACTCTCAAAAGAATTTCTTCCATTTTAAAATTAATTGTTTTTATCAAATTAAATATAGATTATTTATTTGAAAATATGCCAAACCCTTTAACTTATTTTCGATTTTATTCAATAATCCAATCTGTTCAATCGTTATTATCACGAAAAACTTTCAACAGATTTTAAATTTCTAATCTCGCGACGAATTAATTCATTTATTTTTTACTAATTCGTACCTGATTCGTAAATTTTCTTTAAACTATTATCTATTTCTGTCGATTCGTATTCCCGTGAAAACTTAATGGCGAGTGATAAGAAGCGAATGGCGAAGAATATTCATTCATTTCCAAATTTACTTTGTCGAGATCGATTGAAACGAAGAAGTTGGAATTTTCTTTTTTTTTTACAAAGATTTATAATGGAATTGTTACATTAAATCGAAGATTTGAAAGATGAAATTGAATTCAATAACGAAGAATGATGCTTGTTCTTTAAGGAATATCAAAAGGCAATTTTTGGAAGAGAATTCTGATAAATATTATACACAGCTTAATTTATTTTGATTTTTGATCGGGAAATCAAATTTTGTAATATCGAATTTTGAAAGCAATAAATAATAAATTACAAAGTAGTTTAGAATAGGAATGGAATTTCGAATATTGCTTTCTTTCAAAATGTAAGTATTCCATTTTAATCTGATTTTGATAAATCCGCGAAGATAACTGTCGCGAAATATTCGTTTTCTTATCTACAAATTCCACTTTTTGATACGAACTAATCATCGATTGATCGATTAACTAATTTCTTAATACTATATTCATAGCATTATAAATATACTTTTAAATAACAAAAATTCTTGACAATTGAAATAAAAAAAAGTATCAAGTATAATTCATACCTTGTTACAATAAAAAAAATCGAAAAAAATCGTCCAACGAAAACGTTATTTAACACACACACACACACACACACACAAGAAATTTACACAAAGTTGAAAAAAGAAGAGAAAGGTGACTCACCCAAGATTCCTTGAACAACTTATTGGCTATGATACTGGTGCTCTCGAACATGTTCCTCCCTGGTCCAGAGGCGAAGCACATCTCCTTTTTCCCTGGGCAAGTGTACTGTTTCGAGCAATTGTTGCCGGAAAATTCGCATTTCGGGCCACGTGTGTTCGGTGAAACGTCGCCGAGATTGCTGGAGGCGAAGGCTGCCACGAATGGGCCCTGATCTCAACCAATTTCCTTCAATTACAATCCTCGAAGAAATCCTCGTCTTCACCTCCCGTTCAATAACCACCCATAGTTACTTCCACTCGCGGAATTAATACATTTGAATCGAATCGTTGCATCGAAATTGCAAAATAACGAAGGGAAAAATTAAAATCGATATATTTGAACGAAATATACACGGAGACGATACGTATAACTCGACGTTTCGAAACAAAGTGAAACGTGTGCCCTCGAACGCGCGAATTTCAATGGGACGAATACGTTTGTTTATAGTTCGACTTCGCCTCGAATTTTGTTATTCCTTCTTGTGCCCGATGGGGATACGTACGCGTATCGTTCTGCCAAGAGATTTGATTTATCGAAATATTATTTTCAACTGTTTTATATATTTTAAATATTTTTCAACGATTTTTAATGAATTTAAAGTGTTGTAAAAAAGATGTACGTATAAATTAATGTGCGACGTATATTTCTTTTTAATTTAATTAATTTAAAAAAAAAAATAAATATTACTTACAAAATTAAATGTAATAATTATTAAAAACACGAAGTAAATATTTTATGGATAATAATTATTCTTTTTTATAATCAAACCATTAGATTAAAACAGTTTTAAATGATATTTTGAAACCGTCAAATTAATAAACATAAAATGGATTAATTAATTATCTGATTATCAAAATAATTATAAATATAATATTTCTCAAAATAGCCAATCAATATTAATCTCGAAGAGAGATTTAATAACACTTTGATCGTATGAAATTATCTCCGGATCTTGAATAAGTTAATAACATCTCCTCTTACCTTGCCAATCAGTGAATCATTGTTCATGATACTCTCGAAAAGAATCGAGGCATAACCAATATTATCGCTGGACACCAGACGATTCGTGTTGTTCATACTCGTCGGATGGATGGCGAACCAGTTAATTACACCCAGCGGTTTGTCGTCTTCGTTCTTGTAAAATTGTATTTGCGTCAAAATCTTGTCCACGTTGTCCCTGTACCTGCGACATCGAGATTAACTCGTTCGTTCATCGAAGGCAATTTTAATCGACCAGCATAATATTTTATACTTGTCCCTCTCCGCCTTCGGGTTGTTCAGATAAGCGAACGGGCTCCTGTTTATATTGACACCGTGAACTTCCCCGTGGGTGATGAAGAGCCGACCTGGCACCATGGCGTTGTGGGCACGTTCGATGCTCTGAAAAAATTTATCGACTAATTTGATGATCGAGTATTTCTTTTCACTTTCGAGTGGAAACGATTTTTTTTTAATTAACACAGCCTCTCGAAATTTTTGACGAAACGTGTTCGACGAAACGAGTTGGTTACCTTGGTTATTCCATTAACCATGGCGTCGAACGTCTCTCTAACGAAACCGAAGGTCGTCAGATCGAATAGCATGTGCAACATGAATCCACCGGGGGTGGAGTGCGAGTGGGTCGCACTGATCATGACATTCTTCTCCGTATACAAATCGCCATACTGTTTTTGGAGATTCTCCACCACCTGTAGCAACGATTACGTTACGATCTTAAGCAAGAAGAATTTTAAAAATTTTCGAATCGATCGAACGAAATAACTTAACGTCTTACGTGAAAGTAAATTGATAATTGTTGCTCTTTAAAAAATTTGGTATTATTTGAAGCTTGCCATATATTTATTTTATATTTAAAAGAAATTTAACGCCCTTGTCAAAACCATCAGCTATTCAAAAATATTCTTTTTATCTCTAGTTATCAATTTATTTTCCATTTTAAAAGTTATCAACACGTGTCGTCTATCTCGATACGAAATATCTTTTTAATTACCGATTGTTCTGTTGTTTACGCGCAATTTTCAAACTCGATCTTGGATAAAAAGAGGAAAGATGAATCGAATCGATAAATACAATTAATTAGACCTCTTTAATAAGACTTGATTGATGAAGGACGATGGAAAATTACATCAAGAAGGAAAGGGTAGATGTAAAATATGGATTTACCGTTTGACGGATCCCGTTTCCTATCATCGCGCTGTCCACACTGACGAACACGAACCTCTCCTCCCCATCGTCGATGATGAACGCCCGAGAAAACGTTCGAAGATGGAGTCCCGATCCCTTCTGATCGATCTTCGCGTAGCCCATCTGGAAATACGAACGGTATTCTCCTCCGTGATCCGAATACAAAAGAAGAAACAGCATTATTAAATATTTCGATGCACTTCCATTACGACAAATCACGGATAATCACTTTCCTACGCCGTTGCTTTAAGATAAAAAAAAAGAAGAATTTCTTACAATTCAAAATGGTATTGAATTCAAAATCGTAATGAAACTTAATTTATAATTTTCTAAAAAAAAATTGTAATTTTTTTCGATCGAAAGGTAATAATAAAAAAAGAGAAAAAAAATGTAAAGAGCACCAACGAATTTATTCTCGTAATTTTTTGATGTATCGTCGAGATAACGAATATTCTTTCAGACATTTTGGATTCGATTCATTTTTCTAAGTTTCTCGAATCATCGAAGAGAGAAACTTCTCGGAATCATATATGATAATATTAAAGTGGAAGAAGAAGCAGGATACTAACGAAAACTATTTCAGCGACGGGTCCGGTTGTGTCCGCTCTGCCCACGCCAATGGTGTAAGACGCAATGGCGCCCGGCACCGCGACCTGGAGCAGCCATATCGAGAGAAGCGCAAGGATCGTCAACCGTGCCGGTCCCTCCATTCAGCTTTTCTCTGCCGCCAATCTGAACGCGCTGAAATCAACCGATTCACTGTGCTTTATTCCGTTTCAACGCGGTTTAATATTATCGCCCATCCAAAGATAAGGCATCGATGTCCAATTTCTTTTTCGTTTCGATTTTAACCTCGATATTTATATTTACATTTATATTCATCGAGATAAAATCGAAGGATAAAGTTGTAATTGTACGCCAATCACGACGTTGGAGCGTTTACGAGAGTGGAGAATTATTTTGATTTAAGACGAATCGAATTAATCGTACGAATTGTTGGAGAAATTGTTATTGCATTAATTATTTCATGGAACTATATATGGCATGCTATATATTGCTCTGTATAAATTTAAGAAAAATTTCGATTATTTTTCGTATTAAATAAAACCCTGTTCATTCGTTGATTTTGA